CTCTTTTTACTGGCAACAGCAGGGAGACAGAACTGAAAGAATTTTTGGTTTACATATTTGCTGAAATGGTTGCGCAAGAATAGGATTTGTTTGTTGCTTGAGATCAAATCAGGAATATTCCAGCTATATAAGACTGCCTGTAAATTATACATTATGGATAAGACAATCATGCTATCAATACTGTGAGCAACAGCTCAGGTCATCGGGTTACAAGGACAGACAAACAGCCAAGGCACTGAGTCTGACCACCCAATCCACTGAGTCACCTCTTTAATGCCAGCATAGGGGTCAAGACACCTATTTTACCCCCAGATTCCCCTTACAGATAAGAAACTAATTCCCAGTTGTGTGTTGTTCGCTTCAATAAGTAAGTGAAACTCTGCATCAGCAAAATCACAGCATGACAGCTGAATGTGTTCTACCACCATACTAGATATGCCAAGTTCAACAACATAGTGAATGAGTGAGTGAGTTTAGTTTTACACCGCTTTTAGCAATATTCCAGCAATATTAAGGCGGGGGACACCAGAAATGGGCTTCATACATTGCGCCCATTGTAGGGAATCGAACCTGGGTCTTCGGCGTGATGAGCGAACGCTTTAACCACTTGGCTACCCCCACCACCCAGTAGTAACGTACAGAGTCTAGCACTTTCTTGGGCTGAGTGACACTTGGGATTTGAACCCAAATTCCGTCACCTAATCGCCAGTATCGCTATACACTTGTGTCTATACACACAGTGTGAACAAAAATAAAATAGCAGAGAAATGGACACCTCAGGGATACATCTTGACCAGATCAAAGGCTGATTTGTACACAAAAGTCTTCTGAACATATCAGTAATATTACTAAATTGGAGCTCAACATTCCCAATTCATTAATAAATATTATGACTTTGTTAGGTGACTTGTATTTTACTAATAACAGGACCAGTATAGAGACAGAGCCATTAACGCTCAGTTGAATATTACTGCATTCAATGCAATATAAATAAAAATAATGTAAAAATATACCACTGAATTTCAAAGAATAAGAACTTTTAAAAAATTATTATTTTGAAGAAAGTAACAATGTTTCCCAATTTCTCAGGCAAGGGGGACTAAGTTTCAAATCTCAGATAAATTTCTATAACAGGCTGATATGCTAGTTATCTGCACCTCACCTCTCTCCTCGAGATCCACAAGCTGAACTCTTTCTTATATAATATTTCCAAGAGGCTTAATTGTGTACAGTCAAATGTTAATTAAACATCAGTAACTTTGATGCATGGCACCCTAGTGTATATCTTCATGGGAATGATTACATTTCGCTTCAAAGCATAGTTTTTCTTCAAAAGAAAATAACTTATGTGGGAAAACCTATGCATCTTTTGTTGTAGTACAAAGCCAATAAATGTTTGGTCTTTGTCGAATGACCTTGGAGAGAGTGATCACTAATGAACAGGCTGTACTCATGAAGGTTTACGTCACAGAACCTACAGCTAAATAAATAACTATTCAAAAGTCTTTTTAGTGTAGACAGAGAATCTGATAAATTTGATTTACATACCATTAAACCAGTCACTGTGTTGTGAAAAACAGAATTTTCTTTTTCTCATCAGTTTGTTTTCAAGCAGAGTACAAACTAATGTTTTATTAAAACCTTTAAAATACACAAATTAAATGTTTGGATAAAATCGCATGACAAAACAAATAAAACTTCCCACACCTCAAACCCTATTAACTGTATAAAACAACACATATAATTGTTATAAAGTATTTAAGAAAAGACTGATCAAATACCAAATTCAATATAGACACACAAAAATTAATGTAGGTCAAAAGGACAAACCTTTTTCAAACTTCCAAGCCTCATCCACCATTACTGATGATTATATTCATGAAGAGTTTTTGCACTAGTTTTGCCGTTCACAAGCTTGTATCGCCAGCAAGCCTATCTTGCATGTCCTATCCCAGCTAAGGTACAAGACCCCTGTAGGCCGAGCGTTAGCCTGGTCCAGTCTCCACTAACCTAACAATGCTGTCAAGAGATTTGCCAGATTACCACTTAGAGTGGATTTATCTGCTTATGACGCAGGTACCTTTTTTCCGAGTGGCCTATCTGGGCTGCCCTAATAGGGCAACCAGGGGATTGTTGTGTGGGATTTCGCAAAATAATCTACCTGACGAATGTGTCAAAAGAACTCATGAGGAAGCATAAAAATCATGTACCCAGTTCGGTACCCACTCTTGTTGTCTGTGTTACAGATGACAAGCTTAGGCAGTGTTGAATAAATCACAACATTTCCTTGTTATGTGGGGTTGGCAATCCTTTTTTTTTATTTCTTTGCTTTCATCCTTGTAAATTAAATATTTACATTCATTGACTAATATTAAAGATGAAAACAAGAAACAGCAATAGTACGACAGTGGCTGGATTGAGTAAGTTGGGTTCAGTGCCCTTTCAACAAGATTTCACATACATCTTGCATGTCATCTTAACGCGTAAAGAACCTGGTGGTGCAGGTAACAGACTTTGGAAAAGCAGGAATGGTCTTGACAAAGGTTGGATCACAATTGGGGGGAATCAATTATGCTTACTTTCGATCAGTAGGTCGCACAGGAAAAAGCAGTACTTAATATTCCACAGAAGTATTTTTATTAACATCTTTTGACAAAGCTTGATACTTCAGACTATTCAGTTATTTTCAAAAGCTTTTCTGCAATGTATACAATTACCCAGGAAACCAAATTACTAATTTTCAATTCAAAGTTTTACATAGAATTATGTCTACCAAAAAGGGAACTGTTGAAAATGAAACTCATAGACAATAATACCTGTTCATTCTGTGGAAGTGCAAAAGAAAACATAAACACTTTTTATCTAGAATGTACAATTGTTAATGTCGAGAATATCCAAAACAGATCATTACTCTTCAATTTACTAACAATGAAACTCTTTCAGGGGGATCGATATATGTCAACTTTCTCAACTATTGAAAAAGATGCAAAACACACTTTTGTAAACAGTATGAAAAGAAAAGGGCCTGCTTCTCAAAATTTAAATAAGTCATGGAAAATATTAATTTTGGCAAAATTTATTGCCAAAAGAAACAAAACTATGTATCGCTTCAATATGAAATTGGCAAATGTCACTAAGGTATTAAATCCCTCTTAATAACTTATTATATCTTCATATTTTGCAAATCCATTATAAAAAATCTCCATATTTAGCAAATTCATTATAAAATATTGTGTCCTTAAGGTATTATATTTCATTATCTTATTACATTTGACATATGTTAAAATAATGAAGCTGTACAAATATAATGTGAACATAATACTTGCATGATTTAATTGTACTGAATGAACTGAATAAAACACAACTGAAAATATTTGTTTTAAAATGCATGCTTGTATGGCCTTAATTTGTAATTATCATCATAGGATTTGTTTTGCTTTATGCAGAAATATAATTGGAGAAATGTGATACATGAACAAGGATTAATAAAATGCTTTAATTGAACTAATTAATTAAATAAATAAATAAATAAATAAATAAATAAATAAATAAATAAATAAATAAATAAATAAATAAATAAATAAATAAATAAATAAATAAATAAATAAATAAATAAATAAATAAATAAATAAATAAATAAATGACATTGAGGAACTATATTTGTATTTTACCTAGAAGATCCTGCCCAACGCGTTTTAAAGATAACCCTTATAACACTGGGAATACGCTGATATCTCATATGAACGCTGTCTTCGCTGTATAGTTCGCAAGGGCACCTGCTACAAGAGCTAGCAGTGCGGCGTTCTGTCGGTCCGCTGTGGAAAATAAATATCAACGACACTGATAAAATAAACAGTATTGTCCACTTACAGTTTTATACCAGACAGTCTGTCAAAGGAGAATTTTACAATCCGGGAGGTCACAGAAATCGCAATCCAAGCTCCTGACCATCTGGTTGCTGAGGAAGCTGCTGCTAGGTTGATATGCAAATTAGCATCATCGTGACCTACTTCCGTTTGGAGGTTGTGTATCGTTTATAATTGTATATCATATCAGAAAACGGAAATGTTTTGTACGAATTGTACATGTGTATTATTTCGTATATTCGAAGGAGCCTGAACTTTTCTATTTATCAAGTTCTGACAAATAGCACAAAAATATATAAAAAAGAAATATTTAGTGAAACAGTTGCTCCCTTCTGAAGCGCTAAGGTTGCCAAAAACTATACAGGAAAGTAAAACGAAATATGATTTTCAAAATTACAGGGTGCGATAATATGGCACGTATAATCGTCGGATGATATGTTTTCGGACAGATGTGTTTACTCTCGCTATATATACGAGGCGGGTTGCGTGACTTGCGTCACACAAACATTGTGAAATAGTCGAAAGATGGTTTATCTTTAAGAAAAAGTTGTCTTTAATACGTCAGAGACATATATTTTTATAATGTCTTTGCAATAACAGAGACAACAACAAATGTCCAGAAACCCATAACACGAGGATATGATTTTTTAACCTCTTAAAAGGTGAAGCGGTCGAGCAAATATAAATAACTATCTCATCTTATGACGATTTTTTTTTATGCCCACCTCCCTCTAAATACGGGAATTTTTAAAATAAATCATCATTCAAAGTAACATTCCTTTTAAATGCTAAAGTATTTTACTTTTGGCAATTTATGAAGTGTATATGGGGCAAAAAAAACAGTCTAAAAAGTTTTTCTTGTAAGTTTACAGTTTTGGCCAATAAAAACATTAGGATTTATTTTTTTGCGCGGGAAAAATTAATTAATTTTTTTTCTTATTCTTGAAAAATACGACCGGCAGATCCGTAAAACAAGAAATAAATTTTGTCTAGCCTTATAATCTCATCCTCGTTCAGTCCTTCTTAATCTGGTGCCCCTACCCGTTCCCGTTCCCACCAATCGGTGATTCGTCGTGTTTACAAAATATTTCCCCTCCGTTAATGTTTGGTTCCATATTTCAGTATTCACAATGACGGGAGAAGTTATTTCCCGATTTTGATCACGTGTGGTACACAAAAGTGCTTTGTACTGTAATGTTTGAGTTAAGGTATTTCATTTCAAGCCCTCCCACGTCGTGACAGAAGGTAAGGATACCAGTGTTCTATCTTTGTGGTGCATGATTTTTAGAGAAATGTGATCAGTCATTTTCACCCACTGTTCGTTCTCCAAAACAGATTCTGTCCAGTTTTCGGTCACGTAGACTAGGGCTATATAATACAAAATAGGAACATTGCAGTTTAGCGAGCACAGCGCTTATTGGCATCGGCAGGCTCCCATGCCATAATATTTCAGTTATTTAATGGCACATCACATATATAGTGTTGGAGGGAAGCACAATTCAATGCAGGTGGCATTTGATCACCTTATGCATTTGTGTACAGTACACAACCCTGTGCACTTAAAAGAACCCACGAATCCGTTGGTAAATGGCCAGATGGTGGCCACATGAATACGCTGCAAACACCTAGTTGCGGGTACAGCAACGTGCAGTAAAACAAAGTACTGTGACTATGTGTCCCAGTCCACCCAGCTGTGAATGAGCACCTCGTAAGGATGGGAAAGCCACAATAACTCTGTGCGCCTATGGCTGCACGAGTTGTATGATCCCCAGGGAGTTGAGATTGAAATACCATAATCCAATGATCTAGGGAAAAACGAAGCGCCTTTGAGCAGCTGAGCTGGATATTGTCACTATACAAATATTAGTATGATGAATATGATGATGGTGCATTTTACTGGTCAAGGGGCGGTGGGGTAGCCTAGTGGTTAAAGCGTTGGCTCGTCACGCCGAAGACCCGGGTTCGAATCCCCACATGGGTACAATGTGTGAAGCCCATTTCTGGTGTCCCCCGCCGTGATGTTGCTGGAATATTGCTAAAAGCGGCGTAAAACCAAACTCAGTCAGTCAGTCAGTTTTACCAGGGATACTCTACAACAGGGATAGGTCACTCGCTGGCTTTCTTCACCATTTGTACTAATTAGGGTGTGCCTCGTCATGGTCCAGCGCACACAGTGACTTGGTTCATTCCCAGCGCAACTTCGGCTGCGTTTAACAGTACTTCAGCCAGTGTATTGTATCAGTCGGAATTTTACAATGAATGAATTAATTAATTAAGAGCAAGAATTATATGTGAATGAATGAAAGAAATAAAGAAAAAGAACAAAATAAAAAGAACATATGTGAATGAATGAAAGAATAAATGATACACCACGGCCATCCCTCCCCAAACATGTTAAAGAACGCAAAACTATCGGTAGAACACATGTGTTAACATCAGCTGTCCTTTTTAAAAAAATCTACTTTCAGACATTTTTTTACATTAATAACTAATTCAGATATCTTATACTATGATCAACAAGAAAGAAAGAAGTTTTAGAACTATAACACTCAAGCATCACAAGCATCAATGGCGTATGTCATATTTTTCACACACCTCATACACCCTAACCAAAAAAATTTAAATTATAAAACTATCACTATTACTTGCAAACACCTTTCACCTGATGGTATATTCCCCTCATAAAAATTAAAGGTGTATGTGAAAGAAGTTTTAGAACAATAACTAGAAACACTCAAACAACGCCCTGTAGTATTTCAATGGCAGATCGGCGATATGTCATATTTTTCACACACCTCAAATACACCCTGACAAAAAAAATTAAATTATAAAACTATCACTATTACTTGCAAACACCTTTCACCTGATGGTATATTCCCCTCATAAAATTAAAGGTTGTATGTGAAAGATGTTTTAGAACAATAACTAGAAACACTCAAACAACGCCCTGTAGTATTTCAATGGCAGATCGTCGATATGTCATATATTTCACACACCTCAAATACACCCTAACCAAAAAAATTTAGTTATAAAACTATCACTATTACTTGCAAACACCTTTGAACTAAAGGTATATTTCCCTTCTAAAAATTAAACGAATATGTGAAAGAAGTCTTTAGCGATCGAATTTAGTCTTTCTTCGCTGTGTACTGAGAATTGAAGCCAGTGAGCTACAACAAGCCAACTTGAAACTTTACTACAAATCTACTGTACTAATACTGACACTAATAACAATTATTTGACTTAAAATGAAGTGACAGAATAGGTAACTTATCTTCTACATGTAGGTTTTCAATTGTCACAACACTCAGCGTATGTAATCAGCTGTTGAAAATAAACCGGGCTCAATCTTAAAAACTACGCTGCCGCCATATTGGCTACACTGGTCACGTGACGAGCCGAGGCATAGCTTAGGGGTTTTCCGAGGAGTGACCACTCCCCCTTATAGAGTCTCCCTGGTTTTACTGGTCAACCGTTTTCTAATTTCAATTAGCAGCTCTTGGATGATTGAATTCACTTTACCAGGTGCAAAACTGCACTTGCCTTAGGACCTAATCCCATTAGCCAACACCCTACCACAGGACCATGGACAATCACAAATGATTAGTATTTGTTTAGTAATGTTTACCATTCATGTTTACTTTTCTGCACAATATGGTGAAACTCATAACTTGTTAAAAGTGTATGTACTGTTGTGTAATTGTATTGGATGTATTCATTAAAAGGGTAGTTGGCCCACACAGACAGATAGACAATTTATTTCGAGTATTCAAGGCCATGGCCCATATTACAAAAGGGTTTTAACAGGTGTATTCATGCTGGTCATATTACAGGTATCTTGTCACCGGACGAGACAAAAAAAAAACTCTCGTAAAATAACAACAGAGATGCTACACTAAACTATCACACAATATTTCAGCATATATACTGAAGATCTAATTATAATTTGTTGTATTTCTTATCCTAAAGACTTTATATAAGTCTGGCCCATACCCTACATCACAACTTACTCTAAGAATTACAAATAGATGCCCAACACAAAGGATTGTATCATTTGTAAAGGGGTGTTTGATCAGCAAGTGGTACGCAACCCTAAGAATCGCGAAGAGGTGTTTGATCGGAAAGGAGTTCCCAACTTTTATGACTGAAGAGACATGCAACATCTGTGAAGCAAACCAGAGACTGCAGTCTGAGCCAATAAGTGCAACATCATGCTGCAGTCATATACTGCACCCTTTCCAGTGTGGCTCTCACTGATCTTGCATGCCTCTTTGTTCCTTAGGGTTAGCTGCATTAGGGTTAATGCATTTTACCTTCCAACTCTATGTATGTATGTATATTAGGTTTTAGGGCGACCTTGGGCCTTAAAAGGCCTATATGCGCTCAACACTTAACAAACTGTTATATTTTTGTTCAGTTAAATAACATCGTACTTACCCGTTTTAACGAGGAAGTCTAAAACAGCTCTTTGTATGCAACCATACATTAAATTATCGCCAAGTATTGCGTTCATTGAAAAAGTATTTTGGGTTTTGTTAAGCACAGTTTCTTTAAGAGCCTTACGTGGGTTTTCATGAGCTGGACATTCAATGAGGTAGTGCTGAACTGTTTCTGGGCAGTGTAAGTTACAGCTTTCACACAGAGGAGATAAGTCTTTATCTAAAATACTTCTATATGCCTTTAATCCACAATGTCCCAGCCTGAGACGAGTTAAAACAACTTCATCTCTGCGACAACGCCCGAATTTAATTTTAAGATGTTTGTTTACTACAGGACAAGTAGAGTACATGTGTCTACCTGTAGTTTCATTATCCCATTTATTTTGCCAAGATGCATTTATTGAAGATGAAATGACAAACCAGTAATCTCTTGGAATGGGCTTAATTGAATGAATATCTGGCTGTGGTCTGTTGCAAGCCATCTTAGCAATTGTGTCAACTACTTCGTTTCCAGCTACACCAACATGTGCAGGAATCCAAACAATATCACAGCTGATGTACATGAAGTTTAAAACAGTATCAAGATACAAGATGTCGTATAGGGTGTCACTGCATGGACCTTGTACACCTGATTGAATTGCTTGTACAGCTGACAACGAATCAGTAAAAATTATTGCTTCGTGTTCATTATCTTTTACCCATTTTAAAGCTTGAAGTATGGATGTCAGTTCTGCTGCAAATACAGACAGATGATCAGTCAATCTAAATCTTTTGGATAAACCAATATCGGGAATATAGAAAGCTCCACCAACATGACCGGTTCTGGGATCCTTTGAAGCATCAGTGTAAATATGAGTAAAATTGCTATATTTGGTGTGAATGTAATCTTGGGTGAGGATTTTAATAACACTTGGTGACATTTGTTTGTTTACAAGCTCCGATAAATCCTGTGAAATCGAAGCTTCCAACTCTATCTTTAGCCTTTGGATTGCCTTTCTGATTGAGAATGTGCCCCCTTTCGGACCCAACATCGTCCACGGTCCATTGGCTTGGGTAACCTTTCAAAATGAAACACCCCTTTATCATCTGTTTATTGTCCTTTGGATAAGGTGTGACCTGCGTGGAATTGTTCTGCCCTCCCACTCTATCCTGACATACCTTTATAGGGTTTTATGTGACGTGCAAATGTGTGTCCAGTAGGTGCAAATTTAGGGAATGGATGCAGAAAACAAATTCACTGTATCCTGAACAACGCACAATATTATTCATTGTACCAACAACACATCTGTGACTTTGCTAAGCACCAATTCTTACAGAGAATGCCCAATTTGAAAGACACAAATCGTAAAAAAACTAAAGACAATATTTCTATCACTTGTTGTTGCTATTTCATTGAAGAAAGTGTCACAAACGAAAATCAGAAATTGTAGCACTCAAGGGGAGCTTGTAAAAAATCCATCACATCTCAGACAATACCACCCTACACGATCGTTGTAATCTACGGACTGTTCTTTATGATGGCTGCATAACACATTGAAGGGACATATCATTCACAAAGTTCAGTCGTTAATCCCAAAGTTGTGTTTCGTTAAGGAAACAACATTACATGTAACATCCTCTCCACTCAATTGAGTTTGTTAGCATTATAACAATAAAGTTGATGAAGTCAAAGCTCTTGAAAATATGACTTTATGTTATACTGTGAAATGCTGTTCTTTACGTAAAATAAGTCGACAAAAAGAATCGACATCTGAGAGGTAATATCATGAACTTCACTGACAATACAACAACATTTACGAAAGGTAA